CTCCCAGTCCCTCTCCGCAGAGCTGCTCTCCAGCAGGTCCGCCCCAGCCTGTACTGGTGCCTGGGGTTGTTCCTCCCCAGGTGCAGGACCCTGCCCTTTCCCTTGCTGAACCTCATCAGGTTCCTCTCTGCCCAGCTCTCCAGCCTGTCCAGGTCTTGCTGAATGGCAGCACAGCCTGCTAGTGTATCAGCCACTCCTCCCAGTTTGGTGTCATCAGCAAACCGGCTGAGGGTTGCTTTCTCCTCCAAGAGCCCAGGGGCACCAGGAGGAGACCCTGACGATGGCAGAGGAAGCGCTGGCAGACTGGGCTCACCACGTGGGCCGTGCTGTGCCGGGTAACTTGCCTGGGGACAGTTCTTCTCAAGTGATCCAGACTGGGGTTACGTACGCGCATCCAGAACAAGGCACGCAAGATTCCCATAAGGCGCCCCAGTCTTTGGACAAGATCACGACAGATTCCAGCCAGCTGGGTCTCCTCAGTCCTACTGCTCATCTCAAACGGGACACTGACGATGTGAGGCCGCACACCGGCACTGCACGGGCTCACCACAGACACAGCAAACGGTTTCTTCTCTTCCCGTGCCGAATCGGGGCTGCTCCACCGCAGTCGTGCGTCTCGGAGCAGCAGACGGTCCGAGCACTACTGCAGCACCCGACTGTCACCGCAGCACCCGCACGGCAGAACTGGCCCGGCCTGCTCGGTGCGGGAAAACACGCACGGCTGCTTCGCAAACTGCGTCACGACTCTGCGAGATGTGTTTTTGAAGGCTGCGAGCGGACTCGGGGAGGTGCTGCAGTGACGCATGCAGCAGGAGGTTGCATCAAGTGCAGAGCAATAATCCCTCTTATCCCCGGTGCCCCTTCTGGCCTTCACCACATCTGCCACCACCCTGCCTAGAAAACACACACAGCCCCTTCTAACTTCAGATTTTGTTGCGTATTCACTAAAATGTGTAAGTTCGTCCCTACAGCAGTAAATATTTTCAATGTCGTAGAGAAAATTACCTGGATGTTTACTTGGTAATCCGTTGGCCCATGTATGGATCCGTATAATCCAAACCCAACTACAAATATCCTTTTGTTTACTGAGAACCTGCAGAGACAGATCAGGAAAGTCAGACCAACCTGTCACCCTTCCATTGCTTTAGTACAAGGATGATACACAAATATCTTCACTCGTTTTAATTTTAAGCCTATGATTTAATCAAACATACTACAGATTTAAGTGCAACTCTTACTAAAAACTGAAATCCTTTACAGAAACCATAATTTGTAAGCTCACATCTTTGGCTGTCCTAATGGGCCGGCAATCATTTTGTTTGCTCATGTGAAATACCGAGCTGCACAATCCCACCACCGAACTTCCGAGCCCAGGCTCAGAAAGTGTCCCGAGGTTGCGGTACGACGGCAGCATCCAAACCCATCGGCCAGGCAAAGGCAGGGGGGCCTGCAGAGCGTGGAACGGTGCCCACCCTCTCCGCAGCAGCAGCCTTTCCAGCAAGCTAACAGCAAAGTGTCGTTAGATATTTCACTGCTGAGCACTGGAGGGGAATTGTTAATGTGCTTCTGAGCGTTTGCTGGATACAGCCACAAAGACTCACCCAGGAGTAGGAAATAAGGTTCAGTAGCTCCTGAACACAGGAATCCCTGCTGCCAGGCAGCAAGGGGAAGGATATTCACCCCGCTGCCCCACTACAGCTCCATCTTCTCAGGTAGCAGAGAGCCTCAGTGCCTGCCAAACTGCCAGCACAATTTCTTCACCTGTCCACCAACCCCTTCAGTCCTGCATGTTTCAAGCACAAACACCTGCGGCAGGCTGGAAGCCACTGCTCCACAAGCAGCGGAAAATCTTCCGTGCTGAAACAAGCCTTGCTGAAGGCTGACCCCGATGCTGCCAGCGTCTGAACTAAAGTCAAGCACAAGCTCCAAAAGGTCTCTGAACATCAGGTCCAAGAGCAGCAAGCATCTGGAGCTGGCTTCACTCTTCCAGTGATGCCCTCCCGTAAGGGGATGAGCAGACCAGAAGATCCACCTGACAGCCCTATCGACATGCAAGAGAACCATCAACGAAAAGGCTTAAAAATGTAAAGAACTGTATCAGTGCGAGTCGCCCTTTCACCCACAACAAAGACAAATCGGGAAATCACCAAGGCTTTCCAGTTACCTCCTGTCTCGCTCTCATCACGTGGCCACACGGCTTGCAAACCACCGTTTGCCACACCACGCCTCCGCGTCTCTGCCACCACCACTGCGCTTTGCTGACGTCTAAACAAACTAGGCACTAGCAGAAAAGCAGGCGCAGCAAGCATTTTATCCTAAACCCTCCCTCAAACAAGGCTGAGGGGCTTCAGCGAGCCCCGTCCGCACTCCACACAGCGCAGGGAACCGAGCGACGGAGCACTGACTGGCTGACACACCCAGGGCACAGGGGGAAGCCACCAGCTGCGGGGTGACTCCAACCACTACGTGCCCGTACAGCTGCAGGAAGCCATCTGAAAAGGAGAGAAATAACCCCCCAGGAGGCCTGGAGGGCCACAGTTGCTGGAAATTTTCGCCAATACAGAAAGAAAGTGGCAGCCTGCAGCTGCACGCGGGGGTTAACGCATGGGGCGATGCTTTTGCCCGGGTCTCCCTTCAGGGTTCGCACTCGGGTTTATACGGTGGAGGGGTCTAGGACGTAACCTTGCAGGTTTAGGTCTAGGGCAGGCTCAAAGCTCAGCAAACACGCATCTATCGGCAGCAGAATTAGCAGAGGAGCTGACCTTATCCTGTCACTAGTCCCACTGTACCCCCAGCGGCTCTCCACCTGCTGGAATCGGCTGATGCTGCACTCCTTCCCTCGCAGGCAGCACCGCGGCCGGTCGATGAATTCCACCCGCGGCTTCGGGTTCACCGTGAAGTGCAGGAACAGGCTCACCACCTCCCGGTCCGTGAGGATTCCCGACTGGGCAGGCCCTGCGGAGGAGCACGAAAGCAGCGACGCCGTCAGCCTTCGGAAACCAGAAGGGATCCTTCGGGGATTTACACGGGGAGGGAAACTCGACTTGGAGCTACGAGTGGGCCAAACCCACACCACACGTGGGATCTCGCCGCGTGTCCGGAGGCTACACCCCGGACAGAAATGTGCCGCCGGGCTTTTATCTGCACGCCGGTCATGGACTGCAGAGCCTCCGCACGGAGCACGGACATCAAACGGCGATTAAGCACGCAGCTCTGCAGAGCTGAAACGCATTTGGCTAACAGGACTGGTTTACAAAGCCAAACCATGCAGCTAATCCTTCCCTCACTCCCTCAGGAGATGGTAATCCTGGTAAGAGACAGGGATTTTCATACATCTGCAGCGGTATTTTATAACATTACTGTTAAGACAGCGCGGAAGCCCACGAGGGGTAGTGGGAGGGAACATCAGCTGGTTACCCTCAACTTTGAAAAGTACGGGAGTATTTTCAAGTCCAGACAAAGGTGGCTCAGCTGACGCCCTGCCTGGACTCCCTCCCTCCCTCGGGCGCGTAATCCCTGCTCTGGGCTTGTTTGGGCTTTTTGAATACCTTTGCTGTAGAACCTCAGGAAAAACGCTAGCGATTTCAGCCGGAG